TATATTTGAAAAAAAAAAAACCTCTCAATAAACATCGTAAAACCTTAGAAGATTGGTTGTGAACTAGAATTGGAATTTTGAATATTACTTGCAATATGAATAAAATTCATGTCACCGGGTTGATTGAATATAACGAACCTTAAATTTTGCAAAATGAATGTTAATAAAAATATGAAATATTATGAGAATGCAATCTATATCTATCTATAACTGGCACAAAATTTATTTGTAAGAGTGAATTTCATGAATAATGTAGAAGTATTGCGAAATTATTTTCGAATATTTTTGAATGGCTGTTAATAGTAATAAGAATTATACGTAGAAATATATTAAAAAATTTATCTTTCATTGCTCTTAAATATTCAATTCTCAAATTATTTTAATTCGGAGTCAACCTAATCCCTAATTTACTAATATTCTGAATCCACAAAATATATACAGTATACTGTATGTGTTATATAAAATTTGGCAATCCAATAAGTTTTAACCTTGGATTATTAGTTAACCCACATGATGTTGAGATAGCATTTATATTTATTCGATCTTAAGCATACATTAAATGCATATGTTAAAACTTCAGAAAAAGTTTATTTTATGACAGCAGAAATTTAGTTACTATTTATCTGTTATGTATTGTACGTACAGTACGTACATATTTAATCGTTCTCCTTGCAGTGCAGCGAATACTCATTTATGCGAGACACGAACCCAAGAAGGATATTTTGGTTAGAGTCGGTTTAGATGAAGGTTACAGAAAAAAAAAACAACAATCTAGGGCGTATACGTATCAAATTTTCATTAGTGTCACAAAGCATATTTAAGCACTCTTTTATTTTCGTTTTTTTTCTGTTCCCCTTCTCTTTACACGCGCGCGTGTCGGATTGCATAAACGTACAAACCCCTTAAAGCACTGCAAGGGAAGTATTCACAGACGTTGCATGCTAAATTATTTTAATTGCAGGGACTAAAAAAAGTTTATTTATGCATTATATAACGATAATTGTACATTTGGGCAAAATATTTAACCGTAAATCTATACATATTCGGAAGAATTTATCCAAAACCCTATCGCTATTTTAACAAAATGTATACATGTTTTACAAAATACCCCCGTGATCTTG